GTGACAGGGGTGCCCCTTATAAAACCATCGGATCTCGTTAGACTTATTCACTAGCATGAGAACAGTATAAGAGAAACCACCCCCATGATTCAGTGTCTTCTACCAGGTCCTTCCCACAACACATGTGAATTATGGGAGCTACAATTCAAGATGAAATTTGGGTGGGGACACAGCCAAACCTTATCACTTGTCTAAGACCACACTATTTGTAAATGACAGTTGATATTTGAGTCTAAGCTTGTTTGACTTCAAAATACAGTACCTCCATTTCTGTTTTTTCTGGTTTTATAAGAACAGCTTTTTGAAAGTGACTTTTATTCATATATCCTTGCAGTGGCGATGATGTATTTTTAAGATAGCCATTTTAACTTTTTTATAGAAATATCATTTACCTTTTTTGAACAGTTCCCTTTGAATACATGTGTTTAATGAAGCTAAATCTACTCTAACATGAAATGGTCAATTTTCTATTCAAGTAGACCTTTTCTGTTATGTTTAAAGTTACCTGTAGAGAGTCATGTTAAATTAGTTGGATTCTTTGTTTTTGATATTTTAATGAAATAAAATTGCCGTGGTATGCATAAGACTTGTTTCCCCTTTAGATATAGTTGTGAATTAAAGCAAATCTCAATATATAGTGATACAGAATACATCAGCGTTCCATAATAAAGAAGGAAACAGTTGTTTTTTCAAAGTTAATTATTTCAGTGGAGGAAACACCTACAAAAATGATTGTTATAAAAAATCTAAATTTTGAATGAATGCATAGATAGTATAAAAATGAATAATGATGAATGACATTTTTACATTATGTATATTGTGCTTCATACGTTTGGAGGAAAATCTTGAGTCATTAGAAATATTTTAGAAGGATGCTTGCTTAATTTTTCTTTCTGATACAATTAAATGATATATACATATAAATTACACAGAACATACATATTCACATTTAGAATACAAAATTTGCTGATAAATTTGATATGTATATTTAGATTCATATTCATGAAGCAGTCTGTGGACAAAGCTTGGTGCCCAATTAAGGAGACATTATTGACCCTTTGGCTATGTGCCATGCATTGTATTGAACAGTTTTGAAAAAAGCAGTTATAGTATTATGATGGGAGAACAGGAACAATGAAAGAGGCATCAAGATCTTGGTCCTACTGCTTTGCAGTTGTTTTGCTGTGTGATATCCTGTCCATACCCCTCCCCAATAGTGAACCCAAATGTATACTGCATTCAGCCATGTAGATACAGGTATTGGGTGTAGAATTAGATGTAGGTCAGCATTTCAGCAGTATCATGGCCCATCCCCCAAAGAAGAGAAAATAAAAAAACTATGAGATCAGAGACATCTAGGCTAATGAGTGGAATGTGGACCAAGATGCAAACCACATAGTCTTCCCACAGAAGTAACATTTCATATGGTGTAGTTAGGCTTGGATTTTTAAAAAGTATTTTTATTTTTTTTGAGATGGAGTCTCTCTGTGTCACCCAGGCTGAAGTGCAGTGACGCGATCTTGGCTCACTACAACCTCTGCCTCCCAGGCTGAAGCAATTCTCCTGTCTCCGCCTCCCAAGTAACTGGGATTACATGCACGCACCACCAAGCCTGGCTAATTTTTGTATTTTTAGTACAGATGGGGTTTCACCGTGTTGGACAGGCTGGTCTCGAACTCCTGACCTCAGGTGATCTGCCTGCCTTAGTCTCTCAAGTGCTAGGATTACAAACGTGAGCCACTGATCCTGGCCTGAAAAGTATTTTAATGCAAGCTTATGAACTGGATAATCCTGGAGAAATTATTATGCTAAGCCTCAGTTTCTTCACCTGTGATATGATGGCTCCTGCCTTATGAGGTGGTTGTGAGAATTAGATGATTCATTACGTTTGGGCCTTAATCTAATGCTTGGCACATAGAATCAGTGCTCAGCATATGCAGTCATCGCTTGGTATTCATGGGGAACTCCTTTCCAAGACACCCTGTGGATACCAACATCTGTAGATACTCAAGTCCCTTAGATAAAATGTAGTTTTTACATATTACCTATGCGCAGCTTCTCATATACTTTAAATCATCTGTAGATCACTTGTAATAACTAACAATGTAAATGTTATGTAAATAGTTGCCATACAGTATTGTTTAGGGAATAATGACAAGAAAAAGCCTGTACATGTTCAATACAGATGCAACCATCCCTCTTTTTTCCTTGAATATTTTTGATTCAACGAAGAGATTGAATTCATGGATGTGGAACCCAGGCATACAGAACCTGTGGGCCGACTCTGTTTGCTGTGATTGTTACTACTTACCACTGCTACTAGGAAAGTAAGCACTTTTAACAATGTTTCTCTTTGGAAAAATTCATTCTGACTTACAATGTTTAAATTGTTGCTGTAAGAATGCTTCTCTCTTTGCTGCTGTGGGATTAGGTATTTCCCTTCCCCTCAAGTTCCCTACCTCTTGGTGGTAGAAGATGAGAACCAGCTAGTTCGAAACTACTGCTGGTGACTCCTTTGGTTTAGGTCAAAGACTTCAGCTCTATAAAAGCCTGTTGGGAAAGTGAAGGCTGATCAGGGTTTAAACAAATCAGGAAGAAAAGGAGTTAAAACCACCTTGTGGTCTTCAGCAGTATCTCGTTGTCTCTCACACTCTAGTAGCCAGAGTGATGGACTCTGCTGTGTTCCATCCCTGCCCCTGCTGCTAACCATCACCTGTTGATTCCGCTGAATTTTCATTTACTACTGGAGAAGGGAACAGAAAACAGAAACACATGTTGATTTTGAATTTTAAAACTTTTTTTTTCTTTTTTTTGAGATGGAGGTTCGCTTTTGTCATACAGGCTAGAGCGCAATGGTGTGATCTCGGCTCATGGCAACTTCCAGCCGAGGCGGGCAGATCACTTGAGGTCAGGAGTTTGTGACCACCGTGGCCAATGTGGTGAAACCTCTCCTCTCTTAAAAATAAAAAGGCAGGTGTGGTGGCGGATGCCTGTAATCCCAGCTACTCAGGAGGCCGAGGCAGGAAAAACATTTTTAAAAAACTTCTGATGACAGAGTCAAAGCAGAACAAGCCTTGAAAGATGTGCACATCAAACTGTCCTTCAGTGTTCTGTGTAAAAATGCCACTCACAGTTCACTTTTTCACTTTTGAAAGCCTCGAAGTGAGGGAAATCAGCCATAATAATGAAAGAACAAAAGAATGATTAAAAGGAAAGGTGAATAGGATTCATGAAAACACTTTGAGGCCGGGCACAGTAGCTCATACTTGTAATCCCAGCACTTTGGGAGGCGGAGGCAGGCAGATCATTTGAGGTCAGCAGTTCGAGAACAACCTGGCTAATGTGGTGAAACCCGTCTCTACTAAAAATACAACAACAACAACAACAACAACAAAAATTAGTGGGTGTGGTGGCACACGCTTGTAATCCCAGCTACTTGGGAGGCTGAGGCGGGAGGATTGCCTGAACTGGGAGGTGGAGGTTGCAGTCAGCCGAGATTGTGCCACTGCATTCCAGCCTGGGTGCAGAACAAGACCCTGTTTCAACAAACCAACCAACAAACAAAACGAAACAAAACACTCCCTCCCCCCACAAAAAAAAAACCACTTTAAAGGAGCTGGAATTGTTTAGAAGAAAAAGAACTAGATTCTTAATGAAATAATATTTAAAAATCCAATTCTTTACTGAAGGTCATGAAAGATTCTATTTAAAATTAGTTAATATTTTGGGAAGGATTATATGTGCATGACATAGTGAAAAACTATTTATTTTATTTTATTTTTTTGAGACGAGTTTCACTCATTGCCCAGGCTGGAGTGTAATGGTGTGATCTTGGCTCACTGCGACCTCCACCTCGCAGGTTCAAGCGTGTCTGTCTTTTATTCCTCTTCTCCAGCTATCTGTTTTCCTCCTTGGAGACAACTACTGTTACTGGTACTGGTTCTCTTCTTCCATAGATAGTCTGCATTTGTTTCTCCTAACTCCTCATTTAAAACACAGATGATAGCATAGCATACTGCACATACTGTCCTATACTTTTACCCCTTTCTTCTTTGCCTTAACAGTATTCCTTAGGCTTTGTTCCATATCATGACCGGTAGGGCTGCCTTGTTTTTTCATATACTCACTGTGTAGCATTCCATTCTATGGGTATTCTGTAATTTGTCTAGTTTTCTGTTCCTCAGGAAGTTAGGTGGTCTTCGCTATTCTATTTTGCTACTATAACGTCTACCAGAATGAATGTTCCTGTTTGCCTCTTACTTCTACTTGTCAAAGTAAAATAATTTCCTGAAAGAGAAATTGTTGGGCCAAAAAGATGTGCATTTTGAATTTTGGTAGATTTTGCTAAATTGCCCTGAACACAGGTTGTACCAGTTTAAACTCCCACCAACAGGCATGTTTCTTTTCCCGTGTCCTCTTTCAGTTTGTTAAAACCTTTTAAAAGCTTTGCCTATGTGATAGATTTTTAAAAAATCATCTTATTGCTTATTGTTTTACATTTCTGTTATAAGTGAAGTTAAATACTTTCAACATCTTCTAAGTTTCTTTTATATTTATCGCTGAATATTTATGTCCTTTGCCTATTTATCTTTTGTGTTCTTAGGTCTTAGAAATTTGTAAGAACTTTTTATATTTGAAATAAATAAACCCTTTGTGATATGTTTCAAATATTTTTTTCTCAACTTGTTTGCATTTTGACTTTGCTCATAATGTTGTTGCTGTTCTTGGTTTAAAAAATTTTATTTGAAAAGTTTTTAAAATTTATATATATACTTTTTGAGACAGAGTCTTGCTGTGTTGCCCAGGCTGGAGTGCAGTGGCATGATTATGACTCACAACAGCTTTGAACTCCCAGGCCCAGGCGATCCTCCCACCTCAGCCTCCTGAGTAGCTGGGACTACAGGGTACACCACCACACTTGGCTGCTTTTTTAACACCCATAGAGATGAGGTCTCGCTACGTTGCCCAGGCTGGTCTTGAACTCTTGAGCTCAAGCGATGCATGCACCTCAGCCTCCCAAAGTGTTGGGATTATAGGCGTGAGCCACTGTGCTTGGGTTTTTATTTTCAAACATGAAAATTCAAGAAGACATCAGTGGATGTCTTTTTAATTTTTAAGTTAATCAGATACAATGGAAGGTAAGGGCTTTGCAGTTTGTTGCTGCTCAGTAAAAGATAAATAGCCATGAATATCCAACAGGTCAATAGTTTCTGTCAACATGGCTCTTTTCTAACCTGACAGTCATGGATGCTATATTTCACTCATTTCCCAGCAAGTCATTTTATTGCCACCTTGACTATTTGCAGTTTAAATGTGTAAAAACTTTGCATGCTTTTTTTTTTTTTTTTTTGATGTTATTGTCAGCATCTTTGAACTTGTGACACTTAAACTTTTTCTTTCGAGGATTGTGGGCAAGCCCAGCTTTTATGTCTCACTCTGGATACTTGAGCAGAGATGCATATGGCAGTCCTTACTGAGAGGAAGGAAAGATGGGTATAATATTGGAAGGCATGAACCTAGGCAGGTCCCTAGAGCATACTTATCTTCTCTGCTTATTGTGAGCCTCCTTAACTGTGAGATCTATAACTGTGCTGCTCATGTGCTTGGCCCGTGGATGGTGGTATTCTTTCTAGTTTTCTGTTTACCTTTCTGGAGTCTGAGATCAAAAAAAGGACACAAATAAAGCTTGCAATTTGAAAATACCTATTTTTAACTTACTAAGTGGAAACTTTGAGAAAAGTCATTATTACAGAATAATTAGTAAAAAATCACCTTCATTTGGATTCTGCTTTTGGTTATGTAGGTCACGCAGCCTAAGGCAGTGGGAGGGTCTAGGTGTCACCCAGTATGGCAGTCAGACGCAGTGACTGTGCTGCCTGTGATTTCCTGTCTGTACCCTGACTGTAATTAAACCAGCACCAGTACCTGTCACTGGGGTACCAGCCACACATCTGAGTATACATAAGTAGAGCTGAACAGCCTGAATATTGGTGCTTTTTATTCCATGCCTGGAGGTCTAGTTGTTGTTTTTTTTTTAAATACAAGATGGAGACTGAAAGTGAGAGTAGCACTTCAGGGGATGACAGTGTCTTCTGGTTGGAGTCTGAAGTTACAATCCAGGTGACTGACTGTGAAGAGGAAGAAAGGGAAGAGAAGTTCAGGTAACTATGGAATTTACAGTTCCTTTGTCCTCTTCACTCCCTACCCCCACCCGCACCCCTTTTTCTTCTCTGCATTTCAGTCTCTTTTCCAATAAGACTTTCTGTTTTCTGGGGGAAGGTTTGGAGCTGCAGGGGGCAGGTTTTGAGTTGTATATAGCACTCCTCATTCCAGAACTTGCCCTGGACTTGTAAAATGCATTTTACATGGCTTGTTAGAACACCAGGAGGAGAAGGTGTTAGACAGGTTTTGTAGTAGCCTTTCAGGAATTTCAAGTAGAGACTCATAATGAACTACTACCCCTTCCTGTATCTGATTTGTATCAAATAGATTTGATCTGAATTTGTATCGAATAGATTTTTCTTCCTCTTTTTCTTGGAATGTGGTGTGTGTGCGTGTGTGTGTGTGTGTGTCTGCGTGCCTGCCTGCTTTGTTGGCCTTATGCATGGGTATAAAAAATTTTGATTAAGTACAGATTGGTTATTTTGTGGCTTTGATCCTTACCCTTGCCTCTGATCTTGTATCTCACACCCCCCTTCCCCCAAATCGCTCTTGGAGTTTGAATCTCTGGTAGTACTAATAACTTCATAATTGAAGTTTTTAGAGGATGCCTCCTGATGAAGCAACTCTCAGTTTAGTGTCAGTGGTGAAGAAAGATGTCTTAACCAGTTTGTGAGAACAGAACCAGTGTTTCATTCATTCTGTTGTACTGTTGCAAATTTTAAGGGACTTTATTCTGGCTTTTCTTTTTCATTCAGAGTTAGCAATTTAATACTTTTAGAGCATCACAAAATCTCTTGATGAAGTTTGAAGTTTGCGCTGCATAGTATCACTGCCACTCACATGTGCAATTAAACATCTTTTGTAAGTTTACCTGTGAGAACTCGGATAGGTGAATATACTATTTTCGTCAGATACTGTCTTTGTGTTTAATGCTGAAAAAGAGTTTCTCCTTTTCTCTAGTCAAAGGATTTCTTTATCCACAAATTTTATTTTTTAAAGTCTAGGTTAAATGATGGAAGGGATTGAATATTGGGAACTGTTGATAACCCTCACTAAATTTTTTACTCAGGGGTTCAAATAAATGAGAAGTATATTTTAAATTTTATAAGAATAATATTCAGAGTATAAAAATGAATTATTTTATTAGCATATGATTATTTTTTGTCTGAACTTTCTCATTTTCCCATAATTTTATTTAGCCTTTCAAATTTGAGTAAGTCCCTTCCCTTCCAAAGTATGCTAATTGTTAGTCACATCTTCTGCTTTTTAATATGGTTTGTGTCTTGCTAACAATGAGTAGGAATAAAGTATTTGTTTTGTTTGTAATAAAACTTTTTGACCTCGTATTCAAATTATGGAAGTTATTTGGGTATTTGTCAAAGGAAGAAACGACTTGGAACTTATTTTGTTGTTGTTTTTATAACAAATTTGGTACTGTAATCCTAGATTTACTTGTTAGTCAGTGGGCGTCTCTCTGGGATTTTCTTTTGACATTTAAAAGCAAATTTTTGTAAGATTGAGCTCTTCTTTTCCTTGGGAGTATGTGACAGCATTTTCATTCTGAGAAACTGAGCTAGTGATGTGTTGTTTAAGTAAACTATGATACCACAGGGCATTTGTCTTCTGTTTATAATTATATTTCCTATCTGAATAGCACCCATGGCTATCTTCAATCAGTTACATCTTTGGGATTTGATCTTATTTTATTTACAAATGTAACAAAGCGGTGTGGGCAAGGTCCAATTTCATGTAGTGTCTCTCACACATTCAGCAGTGAGGCATGAGGAAATGTGGCAGCAGAGTGGTTTCACAACCTCGTGGTGGCATTCCTGCGAGATGCCTTGCAGGAAAATGGATGTGTGGGTGTGGAAGGGGAAGGATCGGATAGGACTTGCAGCTATAACCTTGGGAGGACCAAATAGTAGACTCAGTGTGGTATGACAGTTGTTTTTATAAAATTAATGTAATAATTAAAAAAATGTCTTAATGTGTTTTTGTAAAAATCTCTGCTAATATATGTGACACCAAGCTGTTGCATTGGTTACATTTCCATTCACATACACACACACAACTAATGAGATGAGGGCAAAAGGTTGTGCACTTTTCTTTTTCCCTGAATAGCTTCTAAACTACATTTTAAATGCACTCCTAAAAGCCTGCTCTTGTGTAAGTTGAGGCACCATGGCTAAGAGAGTAAAGTCACACTGCACCTAGAATGTAGGCTTCTGGTGCTTCCAGGTGCCATCTGCTTTAGGGGGAAGTACTCTCAGAGACAAGTTAATGTTTGTCCAGTAGCTTTTGAAATAGCATTTATTTTTGGACTCAGTTGGATGAAAGGATCCTTTTTATTACATTCTTGCACTATGGGAAGTTGCCAGTCTCCTTCGTGGAGGTAGTTTAAACTTGTCTGCCATTGACTCGCAGATCTCTCATTTTCTGATTTCTTACTTGTAGTGTGAAGCTAGTAATCAGTATTATTACCTACCTTGTCATTGTGGCAAAATAGTTATTAGACTAGAATATTTAGCCCTTACAATAAAATAGTTCCTAGAGATCATTAGAAAAATCCATCCCTGGATAAGAAGGAGGAATATAAGACAGAAAACAAAAAGCATACATGTTTTAATTCTATCAAGAAAGAAAAACTTTATTTAGAAATTGTTATATGTAATGTACTAGGCCATATATATGCCTAGTATATCATATCTACAGTATATCAGTAACTGCTTATCACTCCTATAAAGCAGGTATCATTTTTCCTAGTTTCTCGATGAGGAGTTTATGGCTCAGGGAGTCACATAGCCCACATTTGTCATGGTAGAGCAAAGTTTTGCGTGTGGTGGAGCAGAAATTTGAACCCAGGTGTCACTGACTTTGAAAGTGAAGACTAATGAAGAGTTTCGGGGCTATCTGCTGCTAAATGCTATTTTCTGCTAACTGGTAACTTGTAAGAGGCTACAGCTGATATCTCAGTTTTGAAATTCGTTTTTTTTGAGGAGGTTATGAGCACCAATGATATATACATTATGTGACCATCCTAAAAATGAAGTGATGAACCCAATAAAGTGACTTTTAAAAAATGTGACCTCAGCTGGGTGCGGTGGCTCACGCCTGTAATCCCAGCACTTTGGGAGGCCGAGAAGGGTGGATCACGAAGTCAGGAGATCAAGACCATCCTGGCCAACACAGTGAAACCCCATCTCTACTAAAAATATATAAAAAAAAAATTAGCTGGGCATAGTGGCGGGCGCCTGTGGTCCCAGCTGCTCGGGAGGCTGGAGCAGGAGAATGGCATGAACCCAGGAGGCGGAGTTTGCAGTGAGCCGAGATTGTGGCACTGCACTCCAGCCTGGGCGACTGAGCGAGACTCTGTCTCCACAAAAAAAAAAAAAAAAAAAAGTGACCTCTAGTACACCTAGGAATCATGAAAGGTTCTAGTTGTTTGGCATTTGAAGGTAGAAATGTTTATCATATGGTCTTGTTTAGACTTCCCTAATATCACATTATGGGCTGATAGCCTGGCAAATATGACATATAATTTGAAGCAGCTACAGAGATGATATAGTGTATAATTGAACCATATTTTTGATCAGGATCTGTAGATGCCCAGATCGCTGATCTTCATGTATGTCTCCATTATTAAAGCAATTCATTTTAAGTGACAAGAAACCTCTGACTCTAGTTAAACTGGATTATTTGGTGAACATATTTTAATTTGGGGGGGCAGTGCCTTCATTCATTTATAGCATTATGGAACTAATGATACTTCATGCACTTGATTGGTTGGTTGGTTGCATTATTCATCCTCTACCTCAGGGGTTCCCAACCCCTGGACCATGGACCAGTTATCTTATTTGGAAGGATGCCACAAATTAGAAGCTATTGAGACAGTCTAAGTAGGTAATAAGGGTCTTTACTGTGGTATTATACATCTTCTAGGCTCACAATAGCCTTGAACTCCCAGGCCCAGGCGATCAGATTGGATCTAGATGATTTCTTTTAATGGCTCATTTTCCCTGGAAGCCCGTCAAACAATTTCAAGATTTTCTGTTTTTATTGCTATGCCTGTTCTTTTATCTTGTGCACAAATTCTTGATATCAGTTTTCCCAGCCAGTTTTAATGATCCTGGAAGTATAGAGAGGGAATATTAACAATTAATTGAGGTTGGTCTTGGTGGCTCACACCTGTAATCCCAGCACTTTGGAAGGCCGAGGCAGGCGGATCACCTGAGGTCAAGAGTTTGAGACCAGCCTGACCAACATGGTGAAACCCTGTCTTTTACTAAAAATACAAAAATTATCCAGGTGTGGTGGTGGGTGTCTGTAATCCCAGCTATTTTGGAGGCTGAGGCAGGAGAATCGCTTGAACCTGGGAGGTAGAGGTTGCAGTGAGCCGAGATCATGCCACTGCATTCCAGCCTGGGTGACAGAATGAGACTCCATCTCAAAAACAAATAAACAAACACACACACAAAAAACCAGAAAAACCCAATTAACTGTATGTCCATACCAGTATCACACCCAGACCCATTTTATACTGTGTGGCTTTTCAAAGGCATCTCATCTTTAATAACCTGTTACTTATGATGTGAAAAAAGATGTATATTTTGCCCAAAATGATATAACTTATATTGCTTTGTAACCTTGAAGAAACATCTAGGATTTAATTTAGCTCGTAAAATGTTATTTTAAAAAATTATTTTTAATTTTGGGGGGTTCATAGTGGGTGTATATTTTTATGGGGTACATGAGATGTTTTGATACAGGCACACAGTGTGTAATGATCATATCATGGAAGATGGGGTAACCATCCCCTCATGATGGGGTATCCATCCCTGCAAGCTTTTACTCTTTGTTTTATAAATAATCAAAGTTATTTTTCAGTGTACAATTTTAGTTATTTTTGTTATTTTAGTTATTTTTCAATGTACAATTAAATTATTATTGACTATAATCACCATATTGTGCCATCAAATACTAGGCCTTATTCATTTACTCT